TTGAAAATATTGATGCAAGTTTCTTTTTACTATCTTCTGCTGTCTTATAATGATATGAGCGAGTGTTGATGGATCCTAGAGATGTCTGAGTAACTGATTCCTAGCCAAGTCTTTATTTGTATCTTCATTGGGTATTTTAAGGAAATGTTCCAATCTCTTCTTATGCATATGATGTTATCTATTGTTGGTTTTACCTTGGAGATTAATTCATTGGTGCATCTATACTTATGTACTTAATACTATAGTATTGGGGTGTTCTGCTCAACTTTTTGTCTTTCATGCAAATTTTGGATTCATGAATTTTGACTTGTCCCCTGCAACCTTCAAAGTCATCATATAGTCTAAGCTCAAAATGGTATCTTCTTTGAAGCTTAAATGCAAAGTACTTGCACTTTTAGTTTGCTTCCTGGATTGTTACCTCTTCCATGAATGATCTCCTTTTTTCTATTTAGATTTTTTATTCTCTGGTTATGCTAGTGATCTAGAATTGAAAGTAATACTGTCAATTTTATTATAAATATAAACAGGTCTGTACCTTTGTAGCATTATACTTTAAACTATGCTCTGTTAAATAACAAATCTCTAGTTTGGATTGATTTATGGCTTAAGGGAAGAAAATCAGTTCTATTGTGCTTTTTCAGTGTCCGATCACCATCAGTTTAGATAGTCATTCTGATTTTCATATTACCTCAGAACCTCATCACATGACCAGACTTCAATTCATAGTTGTATTTAATTAGGAATTTTCTTGGATCACAACAGGTGAGTTCAGTTACCCTGGAGTTATATGAGGCAGAAGGCTTAACCAATCTAGATTCTTAACCCTCATTCTAGCCATAGATTATGTAAATCCAATGAAGGAAATTGTTGTACTAGTTTGATTTTATTTGGCTATATCTCAATATGTGGACAAACCCTGGTGCCCTTTCATGCTTCATATATTGACTGTATTAGCAGCATATTGGTTGAGCTGCTCATGAGATACCATTATTAGCCTCGGGCACTCCTTGATGTTAATTGGAGTCCATTTAAATTACCTATAAAATTTGTCTTCTTTCTACAGGGCGGGCGTGGTAGTTCAAGTCATAAGAATGGAATAACTAAGGTTTCAAAACAACTTGCATTGGCCTTTGCTAAGCGAACAATAGCCAGATGTCACAGATTTGAAGAAACAGATCGAAGCTGCTTCAGTGAACCGGCATTGCGGGATGTGATCTTGTCAGCACCTCTACATAACATTGATGCTAAACATTCAGATGTTTCTGGTGCTATTAATCATGTGGAATCACGGAGCGGTCATCTTGGTTCCCGAGTATCAGGTATGGATTTTGGTTGCATCATTCTTCCCTCTCTCTAGACACATGCATGTGGTGTCATATGCGAATGTATGTGCATGCACTTGCATTTGTAAGTATCATATATGTTTGTTTATATACATTATAATCCCAGTTTAACACATTTAGACATTTATTAATTAATTTATTATTAGTGTCGATGGTCTGAACTGTTGCTTGTTAGCCCAGTAGGCTTTAATCACACAACCTTGCCCTGGGCTGAAATTTGTGGTCCATCTAGTAAGCAGGATTTCAGCCTAATTTGTGGAACTGATTGACTGGAGAGGCTCATATAATCTTTGTTTAATGCACTTCATTCTTTGAAGTATATAAAACTGATGTCTATATGTGACCCTGTGTTATTTGGTACTTCTAATACAGTTATTTGTTCATGATCGTATAAAAACATAATGGAGCACATAATTTTGGCCTCATGAAGGATTTGGCAACTAACCAAATATAGTTTGATGTTTTACAATCAAGATTATTGTCTTTGAGTATGTCTTGGTTCTCAAGTGTGGTCTGGCAATGGACTGAGCTAGGCCCTGCTGGAGCTGGTCCATTGACACCATAGATATTACCAGAGAATGTTGATCATACACCCAACTAGCATCATGATTTCCTTTCCTGTTTTTGTTTTAGCTGTTTAAGAAGTACTGGTTATATTTGCAGCTTCTTCTAACTGGCTTTCAGGTGTACCATCAGTTATGGAGAGGCATGGACTTGGTAATAAGATTGATCGAGGTCCATTGGATGCATACCAAGGTTTTCCTCAAATGGGAGATCAATTGGTTAGTAAACCCGACAGGAAGAAGAAGGAGGTGCTTCTGGATGATGTTGTTACAGGTGCTGCTACAAGAGCCATATCAACTCCTAGCTACTCTCTTCCAAGTAGCACAAAATGGAAAAAAACTGAAAGAGACAGGGATCAACACAAAGATGCATTGGGAAGAAGCTCTACTGTTAAAGCTGGTCGTCCATCATCCAGTGGCAGGGGTGAACGCAAAACAAGGACAAAGCCAAAGCAAAAGATAGCTCAATTGTCAACATCAGGGAATGGTATTGGCCGAGTTACAGAGGCAACCAACTTTTTGTCACCAGCATCACAAGAATCCTTTGACACTGTGAATAATTCTGTCATGAAAATTGATCAGGAAGTTGAATTGCAAAGTTCAAGTAATATTATCCATGATTCATCTAAAGAGGTTGATGATACTATCTTCACTAACTTACCACTGCATGCGATAGATTCCATTGATGAATTAGATGTAGCTGAAGGTCTGGGTGGACAAGGTCAGGATATTGGTTCTTGGCTGAATGTTGATGAAGATGCACTCCAAGATCATGATCTAGTGGGCCTAGAAATTCCAATGGATGATCTCTCAGAATTGAAATTGAACTTTTAAAGGGAGACTAATGTGGATATTCAAAATCTGTCAGAATACAAGCTCTATTGTCTTTATGACAACTAACAGGTCAAATTGTCTACCTCAACGAATTAGAATATGTACCTAGGACAGTCTATTCTTTTTTATACCTTGTAAGTTCTTGGCAGTTCCCAGTTGTTTTCCGTCATCTAAGAATTGTTCAGAGTACCAAATGTCAAAATAATTTGACCCATCTATCCAGATTAATCTTATTTCAAGATACTATGGGAAATGTGTCTGGAGTTGAATAATATCAGCTGAGGTAGTTTTTGTACTCATGTTCCAACAACACATGCTTTGAGAAGCACATGAATGCAGCCATTAAACGGTTGTCGATGGGGCATGTACTGAAATGATTAGCCTGTAGAGTGGTGGGTTTTTGGATGGCAAATGCCAAAGATGAAAAGAGCCGACCTTGAAGCAGCAGATGCACATCAGTTGTAAGTTCTGCATCATAGTATCTCCAATCTCCCTCTTATGATTCATTTGTTTAGTTTCTATACCTGAGATGTCTTCTATTGCATCTGATGCTGTGCCGAGTTGTGATTGGCTTTTGTTTAATTCCAGATTTCCATCGAAAGATGCACCAACTTAAACATGTCTGTGCTCTTTTGTATATATGGAGATACCCTTGTTCATTTTGGTATAATTTATTCTCTCTCTCTCTCTCTCTCTCTCTCTCTCTCTCTCTCTC